TATAAGGGTGAGTCCGAAAGGTGTAAGTGCCTATATCTGTTTAGTTTTAATTAAAAAAATTAATTTTTACATAATATTTATTTTATTTCTTGTAGAACGTGTTTCATTTCTTGATCTAAGACAAATAAATTGTTAACTTTAATGATAGAAATACACATGTGAGCTCAATTAGTTAAATTTTAACTGACCTTATTTCGAGCATATCGTAATACGTGAACATGTAGAGTATCATCATTTGATTTCTTCTTAAAATTTCATTATGTGATGTTTTTTTTTTTTTTTTTTTTGGTTTGTTTTTTTTTTTTTGCTAAAAAAAGTATACTATATATTTAAGATATAACGAAATAAACCTTAGTGGCCGCCTTAAAAGTTTTTTCCTATACATACTTGTAGTTTTTTTTTCTGTGTGTGGATCTCTGATGCTTCTTTAAGTTGACATTGTTTTGAAATACCTGACACATTGGCGTCGGAAGCAAATTGAAAGTGTGTGTGTGGGGGGGGGGGGGGGGGGCTAAGTATAGGAGAAAAAAAATCAGACTGTCAAACACGAAAAACCTATTTCGGGGAGGGGGAGTAGGTTCGAACTCCCTTGAGTACCAAATTTTTAATTTTTTTTTTCCAAACACTACCACTTACCCCTTTCTTGACCTAAACTGCAACGTGTCTGTGGAAAGTGGGGGTCTAAAATCTCAGTTAGGCAAGCTTGTGCTCTTTTAATTATATACTTTTATCAAAAGGAGAAAAGTATCTCCAATTTGACGAAATTCCACCAGAATTGAGGAAATCCGAAAAAAATGTCCAACTTCTGCACCATCCTCTGCCCTCTCGTGTCACTTTGAATCAAAATTAGTGCTGGTTTTCTTAACTACAAACAATTATGATTTTAACTGTGTTCTGATTATCATATATTAGGGGCCACATTCGGCCGTTGCCATATACCTAGTCATTTTCGAACTCTTTATTTGCTAGTTAAATTTTCACTGACACCAAGCAAATTTTTTTTCCTACCATGATATATACTTATAATGTAAAATCTCCAAAAGTCGCAATTACATGTATCTCACAAGTGTTACAAGCTAATTAAAAGAATTATTCAAGACTTTCATTGCTTGGGTTCAAATCTCCTTCTCCCCTAATGAAAGAATAATTTTTGCCAAAATAAACAATTAATGAAAATCGATATAGCAGAATAAAACAGACCTCTAAAAACGTTATAGGTGGGATCAAGTCAAATGAAGGATTAGATATCCTCTGTTGACCGGTCATACCCGCAGTGTGCTTCTTATCATGAAAAAAAAAACAAGAGGCCCATGGGCCACATCGCTCACCTGAGCACTAAAAGTAGGAAAAGTAGAAAATGGTTTTTTATTGTAAGTTTAAATCAAGTAGTCCCATGACCAATCATGGATTTGCTATTTTTTAGAAAATGATTTTTAAAGAATTTTCCTATATATATCTTTAAAAACTTAAGTCGGCCATTTTGGCCCCGCCCTACCCCTGGGGGGTCATGATTTGAAAAACTTTGAATCTACACTACCTGAGCATGCTTCCATATAAATATGATGAATTATGGCTTTGACATTCTTGAGAAGAAGATTTTAAAAGAATTTTCCTATATATTTCTATGTAAAACTTTGGTCGGCCATTTTGGCCCCGCCCTACCCCCGGGGGTCATGATTTGAACAAACTTGAATCTACACTACCTGAGCATGCTTCCATATAAATATGATGAATTATGGCTTTGTCATTCTTGAGAAGAAGATTTTTAAAGAATTTTCCTATATATTTCTATGTAAAACTTTGGTCGGCCATTTTGGCCCCGCCCTACCCCCGGGGGTCACGACTTGAACAAATTTGAATCTTCGCTATCTGAGAATGATTCCATATAAATATGATGAATTATGGCTTTGTTTCTTGAGAAGAAGATTTTTAAAGAATTTTCCTATATATTTCTATGTAAAACTTTGGTCGGCCATTTTGGCCCCGCCCTACCCCCGGGGGTCATGATTTGAAGAAACTTGAATCTACACTACCTGAGCATGCTTCCATATAAATATGATGAATTATGGCTTTGTCATTCTTCAGAAGAAGATTCTTAAAGAATTTTCCTATATATTTCAATGTAAAACTTTGGTCGGCCTACCCCCGGGGGTCATGATTTGAACAAACTTGAATCTACACTACCTGAGGATGTTTTCCCATAAGTTTCATCTTTCCTGGCACAGTGGTTCTTGAGAAGAAGATTTTTAAAATATGCCACCAAATTTTCATTAATTCCCAATTATCTCCCCTTGAATGAGGGCGTGGCCCTTCATTTGAACAAACCTGAATCCCCTTCACCCAAGGATACTTTGTGGCAAGTTTGGTTGAAATTGGCCCAGCGGTTCTTGAGAAGAAGTCGAAAATGTGAAAAGTTTACAGACAGACGGACAGACGGACAGACGGACAGACAGACGGACGCCGGACAAAATGTGATCAGAAAAGCTCACTTGAGCTTTCAGCTCAGGTGAGCTAAAAACTAGAGGTACTGTGAGCAATGAGCTCACTAAATGAACCCCCCGCCTGCCATATGGTTATAACTGATGACAAAGTCCATGTTTTGCTGTGGCCGGAAAACCCAAAATTTGTGTCGGATCAAAAAGTAAAATAAGAGGTGCACAATGGCAATATGTAATAAAGATTCTGTGAAAGTTTCATTAAATTTCACTCAGTGGTATAAGAGGAGTTGCGGATAAGAGATGGGTACCCTAAAGCGTAACAGACGGACGAACATACAGACAGACGGACGGACGGACATACCGATTACAGTATACCCTCCCACTTTTCAAGCGGGGGTATAAAAGAAAGATATTTTATTGTTTTTATTTATAATTGTATAAATAATAATTTAAAACATGATCAAAAAGACTAATTATTGCATTACTGATATGCACGTCATAGCACGTTTCATTGATGGAACAGCCACTAATCAAAAAATCTGTTCAGGTGACTTGCCTGGTATTGTTCATGATCTGATAAACGGCAATGGCTTTCTTGAGAAATGAAAGAGAAAACATTCAGTGGATGTAAATATATCACAAACATGATTAAACGCAACCTTCTTCAGCACTTTTCAGTGGTTAGCGTGCAAGTCTCGAAAGTAAATGATACTCAAGATTTTTATTGCTAGGGTTCGAACTCCAGGAATACCACATTTTTTTAATATGAAAAGAATACATTTTGCTGAGAAAATTTTCCTCTCAAAAAACTTTTGTTTATCACAATTTCATAAATTTTATTAATGGGACTTTTATTTTTAATACTAAATTCACAAACTGAACATGGTTTTTATATATATCTGAAGCTATAAATAGGTTTTCTGTACACTATGTTCACCCATCTCCTTTAATTGAATTGCAAATGATCGACAAGTAAATTAACCAGTTCCATTTCATTAGGAAAAAGCTGTCTTTTACAGTATACTATCAAATTTTATCCTATTTTATCCTAATACAGGAGCAAGCTTATAATACAGATAATCTTCCACCGTTCAAAGCGAGATAACTCTTGCAAATGCTTTTTTTTTTTTTGTAAGCTATCTAAAGGCCTGTGATTAAAAAACATCTCACATACTTTTAAAGTATTTACCAATTAGGATCATTTGCGTTACATTTAGTAAAGTAACATTAATTGTTTTAATTGAATTAATGTTACTTTACTAAATGTAACGCAAATGATCCTAATTGGTAATTACTCTAAAAGTATGTGAGATGTGTTTTAATCACAGGCCTTTATATGTAGGTGACTTGTAACGAAAAATGGTTGACTAAGTCTTACTCGAGCAACGAACGACTGTTTAACGTTTAGCTTTGGAATTCCTTTGAAGTATCTTATAATAATTTGTACAAGGTTTATGAAGACAATAGACTTTCCAGACGTTCAGTGTTAAAGTAAAGGGAGGGAGATGGTTAAAATGATGTTTGTTTTGTAGTCCAGCGAAGGCAAGCTGGGGAAGAGATGTGTCCTTTGATGAGCTAATTGTTATGAAAGATCGTTGCAGCTAAAAAAAGTAGTTGTATATCTTAACACTGATATTATTATTGGGGGGGGGGGGGCACGGCAGATGTGACTGGTCGGCAAAGGATGCTTACTCCTCAATGGCACCTTATATCACCTGTAATTATTTTTGCTCTGCTCCCGATTTTTATTGTTTAATTTTTAAAGGACTTTTCAGCTTGAATATTGTTTGTTATCTCAATACATTAACAATCTTGAAATTGTGGTGTGGAGTTTTTACTTTATGCCATGGATATCTCCAGGAAACATTTTTATTTATCTATTTGCAACAATTTAATCAACACAAGAAGAATAATAAATCTTTAAATCGTTTCAAACTTTCACAAATTTCATCCCCTACAGACACCGTACTGACAGCTTTAGCACGCTCTTCTAGGGTAAAACACCGCATATGGTGTAACTTTTTATTTAAGCGTTTAATTAATACAATGAAATATATAGAGTTAACGAAAAGAGTTCAGCCTCAAAAGTCAACAATGCAAGATTGGAAAAGAGCAAATAGGAACCTCCAAAACATCAGAGATGGGATCAGGTGCCATGAAGGAGTGAGCTTCCCCTGCCGACCGGTCACACCTGCCATGTGCTCCTTGTCATGATCGGGAAATAACGGAAAAAATCCGTCTACAATTCAGTGTGTACATAATGGTCTAGCAATTAGTATGAAAAACGTCAATTTGCATTTGACTGAATGATAAATTGTATTTGCTGATAAAGTCATTGTATCGACCTAAGAATTTATGGAATGACGACTTTAAACGAGACTGTTGATATTCTTGTTTAGCAACTTCTTCGTCAATAATTTATCTCGTCTTAGAAAATTTACAAATATTACAATCAAAAACACAAAGAGAAAAATTGATATTTATTCCTCCCAAAAAAGTATGGGTACATTTTTTTTTGTTCAGTTTTTTTTCTATAAAATGGTTACGCTTCAGTAAACATTGCAGTATTAATCAAGACAAGAAATGCCTCATGTTAAATTTCAGCAATAAACATGACTTTTTATCAAATACACCATAAACAAGTTTTGAAAAAAAAACATTAATTTTCTTCGATAGTACATAAGCAATTTTGTCTATTGTAGGTAATGGTCACAAATATCTGGCATTATTCTTAATTTAAAGACACAATGTCATTTCTTCACGGGTATATGATGTGTGAAAAATGGGACATAACACAATATTCACACAAACAATCAATCAGAGTTATGAATATATAGTAGTTGCTGATTTGAAAACGTGAAATTTTAGTATCGATCAAGTCTGTGATCTCGATTAGGCAAATTTCAGCAGGCAATGCAGTCAGTGTCATACAGTGACACTTTAAATGAATGACTCTTGTAAATATGATAAGCTTCCACCGAGAGACCCGAGAAATCAAATCTCATTGTGATTTCAGTTTCTTCATAGCAATCTGTTGGAATTTTTGAAAATGGTACCTCGATCAATCCTAATTTGAAACAAGAGGGGTCGTCCACAAACCGAGGGGACCTCTTCTGAGATTTAAAAATAAAGCATCGGAACATTTCCTCCTTGGGATTCAAAGCTCGAATTCGGTGTTGTATGAATTGTTCTTGAGGAAGCAAGTCTCCCTTTTCGACAAATACATGGAAAACCTCTCCACAATATTCTTTTCCGCCTATGGCAAATTTCTTTTCCTCAGGATGTTTAGTTGAATCAAAATCTTCCCAAAACTGAATCCCATAAGTGTATGAGGCGACAATGTTTTTTGTTTTATTTAAATGTCCATAAAACACGGCTCCCTTTAAGATAATCATAGAAGGATCTCTAAAAATGATTGTCTTCAATTTTTGTTTCGTTTTAAGAAGTTCTTGTAAAGGCTTACAATTTGCAAGTTTTCCTGAAAAAAATATGCCCTCAATATTGAGTAGACTTTCTTTTTCTATGAAAATTTCAATCTCCTCGACAATTCGTTCGATCGTTGGCAGAAATAATTGATCTTTTACCACTGGCAATATACTCATTTTTCCACACGAAAAGGAGACAAATTTTCCTTCTTCATGCCTGCTCTCCAGTATGTCTGAGAACTTTTTCCCATGTAATTCTTCTACTAATGAGATGAGGTCGCTTGGGACGTGGGTAAGTCTTTCTCGTTTTGTGGGACGTAGCAGGATATTATCAACGAAAGAAGTAAACTCCATAGGGTAATCTTTTTTAAATTCTTCGATGACATCATCACCAAAAATATTTTTCAAGACAGAACTTACTTTGCATACAATTGAAGCCATACCCTTGGGGCAATCTGTTGTCTTTAGTACGGGATCAATTCCCCTAGCGTACTTCAGGTGAGCACATATTGTAGTGTTTTCCTCTGAAAGAATGATGGGAAGTATATGTACATAATTAGCCAGTGATGACGTATGTCAAACCTTAAGGATGTGGATTATTGAATAATAATTCAAAACATTTTTAAACAAATCTATTTTTCCTACAGTTAGTGGGAAATCAACCAATACCATTCATTACCAAAATTATGTTTTTAATAAAGCTAGAATATATTGATGCAGCATCATAGAAGTGCTGATTTATATTAATTGTTACACTATCTCTGAATTATACTAAGGAGTCTTGCTTAATTATAAACTGTTAAATTTATTTGTCATCTGTGAAATATATCAAAAACATTGGTCTTGGCCTGATTGTCTCTCTGTACCGCCTTTCTTTCATTGTGTCTATCACAAACTGTATCATATTCATTTGCTGATTGGAATATACTTCGAAAGTTTTACATGTAGTATGTTGTTGTCAGGTCGTCCGATCAAGCATTGAGTTGGACATTGACACCATTAGTTAGGCTGTTATCTCTTGTTTTCTTTCAATAGTGATGAAAATGAAGAAAATCATTAAATGCGTTGAGATCATATGTTTTTAAAAATGACCCAATTTTAACCTGTTAGTAGAAAAATATCGAAGACCCAAAACCTGACTTGACAGAAAATACATTTCAACTCCATGCATTTACGATTCTCCACTTGCATGGTATACATTTTCATTTTCAAGATATTTTAAGACGAATGTATTTAGTTTTTACGTTAAATTTCAATTAGTTGAAATTCATTGAATGCTTTCATTAAATTTATATCCATATATACTTATATGATAACCAGAGGCCCATGGGCCACATCGCTCACCTGAATGACATTGGTGATGCCGTTCTTTACTCGATTTCCCCTTGTAATACCTACTGTAGCCTCGGCCACCCCCCCCCCCCCCTTCGGGGTCACTATTGTAACAATTTAAAAATCTACACTACCCCAGAATGCTTCCACATACGTTTCAGCTTTTCTGACCGAGTGGTTCTTGAGAAGAAGATTTTAAAAAGTTTTATCCTATATATTTTTATGTAAAACTTTGATTCCCTATTGTGGCCCCACACAACCCCTGGGGGTCATAATTTGAACAATTTAGAATCTACACTAGCCCAGGATGCTTTCACATAAGTTTCAGCCTTTCTGGCCCAGTGGTTCTTGAGAAGAAGATTTTTAAAGTGTTTTCCAATACACTTCTATATAAAAGTTTGATTCCCTATTGTGACCCCGCTCTAACCCCTGGGGTCATGATATAAACAATTTAGAATCTACAATATCTGAGGATGCTTCCAAAAAAGTTTCAGCTTTTCTGGTCCAGTGGTTCTTGAGAAGAAGATTTTTAAATTTTTTTCCTATATATTTCAATGTAAAACTTTGATTCCCTATTGTGGCCCCGACCAACCCCGGGGGTCATGATTGGAACAATTTAGAATTTACAATACCCCAGGATGCTTCCACTTAAGTTTCAGCTATGTTGGCACAGTGTTCTTGAGAAGAAGATTTTTTTTTAATGACCCCACCCTATTTTTGTCTTTTCTTGATTATCTCCCCTTGTGAGGGGTCCTGACCCTTAATTTTTAAAATTTTAACTCCCCTTTACCTAAGGATGCTTTGTATTAAGTTTGGTTAAAATTGGCCCAGTGGTTCTTAAGAAGAAGTCAAAAATGTGAAAAGTTAACAGACGTACGGACGGACGACGGACAAAATGTGACCAGAAAAGCTCACTTGAGCCTTCGGCACAGGTGAGCTAAATATCTTACCTCCTATATGCACCGAAAGATAAATGCTCTTTTCAACTAGTGTAGAAATTGAAAAGCCCCCATTTGTAACTAATGTATATTGTATCTCATCTTGTGTTGAGTGCTCATAAAACAATGCTGCCGCAACAGGACCTGCCACCAAAGAGATTTGATCTTTTGCCAAACCTGCCTGCAGTTGAAAGTATCATGTAAAAAAGGTTATATTGATGAGGGGGATATTCCATTTAATTATTTCTGAATTGATGCTAGTTGTAACGCGCCATTTGAGTCGATAAAAATTACTTAATAGAGTAATCGTCTTTTTATCTTTCACTAAATTTATGAAAAAAATAATAATAGGTAGTATCCAATTTATACTGTAGAAAATGGGTTAGATCAGTAAACGTTTTTTTAATAACCGCTTCCCGGTCAGAATTATCTACAACCACATAAAGCAAACAATTAAGTAAAAAGCCTAAGGATCTTGTTTTATTTCATCATGTACTTTTCTTCATCAGTACCAATAGATACAAATTCTTGATATCCGGGAAGATCAATCAGTATCACAGAATATAACAATAGCAAAATATAAACATTTTCACTCATTTCTACGTTCGTCTGGACCAGCCATGTAAATATATTTTGAAGAAAAACAATCTAAATAATACAAGTTTTCATACTTTAGATAGGAACTGTAACAAAGTTTGGAATAATAATTGCAGACTTCTTTTACCTCTATAGCAGCATCCTTAAAGAAATCTTTTAATCCAGAGCTACACTGGCACGGTAGTACAAGCACAACATCCATATCAATGCTCCAAAAACCTAAGGACAAGTCGTTAACTTTTGACATGAATTGATCCACAAAATACCTTATAGAATGAGATAAAAGTTGCTTTGCGTTTACTTTTTTCCCACGGACGTCTTTGATTGAAGGACTATGGCTGCCGCATTCATGAAACTGAAATATTAAAACAAATTCTTTTTTCTAGTCTGTAAATAAAGCTACCTGTACAACTTTGAGGAGATGAAAATAACGTGGTGTTGTTCTCTCTATTAAACTAGTCAATTTAGAAAATTGCCATTCTTCATGTTTGTGGGATTTATCAATTTGATCTAACTTTAAACATTTTAAATACATTGTCTACAATTTACAATAAGCTTATAAGATCATTGTTGTGTTAAAAAGTCTTACTTCAATTAAATGTTTCACAAAATCGGGGAAGTAGTAATGATCTGTACTTTCTTCGTCCAAAGTCGAGTATTCTTCCTGTGCTTCGAAACCAAAGGAGTTGAATGTTTTATCAGGGTTTAGCAGCAGTGCAGTGGGTAACATTTCTTTATTTTTTTGAAGTCGATATGTGAGTACCTTCCTCCAGTCATGTTTAAACGAAAATGCCAAAGAGGAAAGAACTGGCTCTATCATAATTGAAAGTACGGCACATTTCTTACTTACTGATTCTTGTTCCGTCCTTAAAAAACAATATTATCACGTGTTAAAAATCATATAAGGAAAAAAAAGAACAAAACATTACATCAAAATATAAATATTTGCACCGAATAAAGCACCAAATTGTATTATTAGCTACATGTATCTTGAGCCAAAAGTTCAAAGAGCTAATGATATGGTCAACTGGGCGGCGTGCGTAAACATTTTGAATATATGCCATATCTCAAAAACCTCCTGGCCAGCTTTTGTTAATATTGTCACAGATGTTCTTGGTCCAAGGACACTCGTTCATATTTTAAGAAGGAGTATGACCTTTTAACAAGTGGAGATAATTAGGGTAATAAACACAAAAGTACTGGTTGTTAAAAAATGTCTTCTCAAGAAACAATGGATGAGTATATGTAATAGATTTAAAACTGTTCAAGGCATTATCCTATAGGAAAGGGTTTAGTCTCAAGGTCACTTCAAAGTTGGCCAAAAGTTATGTTTTGTTACAACTTTGATATTTTGCTTACTCTAAGGACTATGACTATGACTTTATGAAGTGGGATCAGTTGACATGGAGGAATGAGCATCCCCTCCCAACCTCTCAATTCCGCCGTGTGCTCCTTGTCATGATCGGGAAATAACGCAAAAAGTCCGTCGTCAATTCAGTGTATAAATAATGGACCTAACAATAAGCATGAAAAATGTTAGTCAGCATTTGACTCAATGACAATGATAAATTATATTTGCTGACAAGGTCATTGTATCGATCATAGGACTCAAGAAATGATGACTTTAAACGAGACTGGTCATTGTTTCAAATACTGAGAGGTTTAGAAGCATTTAATCTTGTAAGTAGGTTATCTTTTGGCCGTAAATCATATTTATTTAAAAATAAGTCACAGTAACCTACTTTTTGAACTTTGCAGGCATTCAATTCAAAAATGTTTTAGAGACAAACTTTAAATATTTAGGGCCTATGATTATCAAACTTTGTCAAATAAAATATTTCAGGCACTCATAATTATGCATTGGCTCAAAATAATCAACTTATGTCAGTTGATGCCTCTTTGTGTTTTGGAGAAAGTCAATTGAAAAGTAGGTCACTGTTATCTACTTTTAAAATTGCATGGCTATAATTAAATATTTTAGGTATTAATATGCTTAAAATCATCAGACCTAGGAGAAGGTCAACTGAAAAATAGATCAACATGACCTACTCTAAGGTTCTAATTGGCTTAGAATCATTTTGGGTTCTCAGAGTGTTTTATCTAAAAGGTAGGTCTTTTGGGATTTCGATATACAGAATACTTAGCCTAAAATGGAAGTGATAGGTTGTACAATTTATGAGAAGAGTGGTTCAATGCCCTTGGGGTTCTTGTAAAGTTAACGAAAGAACTTTCTGTAGTTTCTTTAAATTTTCAACAGTATCGGTAGAGCTTAGTATGAATGTTATGAAGATTTATTTGTTTATTGAAGTAAGGTGAAAATAAAAGACGAGACATAATGTATACATTCTTGATGATCGATGTCCATGACAACACTTAAGTACAGGTGTTTTGTTAAAAGCTCCCCTCACATTCACATTGGCAGATTGTTAAAATATTCCCTACATTACCTGGTTTTTTGTTGCATCCATGTAATGTTCTTGTAAAACAATTGATACTTAATCAATTTAACAGGAATTTTGATAACAGAAACTAACATAAAAATAAAAAAGTGATGGATGGACCATTTTGGTAATTCTTTTACACATATTATCCACAATGGTTTATATATAATATCATTAGTTTTTAGTTTATAGTCTGACTTGCTATATTCAGGGAGTTAAGCGAATTCCTTTCACGAAGTAATGACTTTTTTGACTTCAATCTGTAAAGAGTGATTCAACACACATTTCAGGAGGAATTAATGAGGATATTAATTAAGGAAATTATGTAGATAACATTAAATAACATAATCAACATATAGATAAGTTGCAACAAATGTTTGATAAAATAAGTCATTTTAAAATTCTTGTAACTTACATGGCAGTGTTCAAAGCAATACCGCTCAAACCGAAAGTAAACTTTAAAGTTTATCCATTTCCTGTTGAGACTTGTTAGAAGTCATGTAGTTATTTATACCACCTGAAGTAAACAGAAATTTTGCTGGTGATTTCAACGCAAGTTTACTTCGTGAATTGCAGACAAATGATGCAAAATCATCTATTTTTTGCAAACTTGTAGATCAATGTAATTTTTCAATTCCCCTAATCGATTTTCCTATTCAGGGCGAATTGTTCACTTTTTTACCAACTCAAACCATGTTAGATTACATTCTTTTTAATAATGATGCCACTGTACGTCATTATGAGATTCTTAAAGAAGGATCTTTATCATTAACATCCGATCATTTACCTGTGGTGTGCACCCTTCATTTTCAAACTAAACGAATTATCTTGCAAGACTCTTCTAGTAAACTCCTAGCATGGCATAAAGCTAGCACAGAGGCTATAACGGAATACAAACTGTGCACCGACGCTGAACTGCAAAAACTAACTAATATTGACATTCACTCAGCTGATGATATTGAACAGTTCAATCAAGCAGTGATAGAAATTTTATCATCTGTATCTACTCGTTGTATTCCTACATCCAAGTTTAACCCACATACTAAACCCGGTTGGACGAAGGCTGTCAAAGAATTTCACGTGACAGAGCGAGGTAAGCGCAGGCGCTGGATCGAAGATGGGAGACCCAGAGGTATGCAGTTCGACTCATACCGCGAATATAAGCGAGCTAAACGTGCTTTCAGAAATGCCCATGATAAGGAATACGACATTTTCCTCCGGTCAACATACCGCGAAATAGACGAAGCTGCTGAACTTGACATGCGTCTATTCTGGAAACTAGTCAAGCAAAGGCGCCCACGATCTTCCAGATTTTTTCCTGAGATCCGTGAAGCTTCCGGGGACATCCGCTCGGAGCCATACGGGATAGCAAATGCCTTCGCTGATTTCTTTGAAAATATCTATAAAAACAGCGAGAACAAAAAGTTCGATGATCAGTTCAAAGTAGTGTTGGCAACGAGTACCCGGTTAACCGGTTAACCGTCGAACGATGCGAGTATCGGTTAGTAAAATTGCTATTCGGTTACTCGGATAAAATGCATCTTATATGGTAAATAACTAAAAGATAAAATGTTAATTTGTTTATAAGCGTACAAATAAACATTTCTCTAATTTTCTTTACCGTAAGACTTAATGATTTATGGTTTCACTAATACGATTGATTGGTTTTCACACTTAACTGATAGCTTAATTGGATTGCCAGCAGGTTATACAAGTTTTGAAGACCCAAGTTATAATTACCTCATTAAATAATTTTAAAAGATGCCGTCAAAGACATGTATAGCTTGGAAGTATTTTAAAAGAACAGCTGATTCCTTACCTGTAAAATGTAATTAATTTGAATTGGAGTTATCGTGACTTCAAATTTCTAAATAATTATTCTCCTTGATCGTGACATATATCGGGGGTTGAAAAGTAAAACTGATGAACGCCATTGTAAAATAGCGTGAAACATTGAATATTTATTTTTCTTCTGATTTAATTAATTTTTTTATTATAATTATATTTAAAATTCAAGATATTACGTGCGTGTTCTTTTTAAGTTTATAAATAAAGTTAATTCACAATACCTTTGTGTTTTATTAGAACCGATTAGTAAAAGATGAGATAAATGATACATATGAATAAATCATCCGAGTAACCGGGTACTCGATCGGAAGACTGAGCGAGTAACCGGTTACTAAAAATCGTCCGATTTGCCAACACTAGTTCAAAGACACAGTAATCTCAGAATACATGCGTATCAAGGAAGAATGCGGCAACTCCGATAGCTCCACTTTCATCTCGCATAGTGACGTCATTACGGCCATATCCTCTCTCAAACGTACGAAAGCACCTGGTGTCGACTATATTACCAATGAACACGTTCTTCATTCCGGCACCTCTATAGTTGCTTGTCTCAGCAAACTGTACAACGCTGTAATTAGCATCGGTTGTGTCCCCTTGCAGTGGAAACGCGGCTTAATCGCTCCCATATATAAAGGAGGTTCCAAACCTAAACACTCATGTAACAGCTACCGCCCAGTTGCCTTGTTGCCTTGTCTCTTCAAAATATTCGAAAAAATCATCTCTGTCAAAATATCTTCCTTGGAACTGTCTCAACCTTTTCCAAATACACAACAGCAAGGCTTTCAGAAAGGATTAGGATGTCTTACAGCCTCATTTAATCTACATGAAACTCTGTATCACAATCTTGAGATGGGAAGTAATGTCTACATAAGTTTTTTAGATACAAGTAAAGCGTTTGATACTGTTTGGAGGCAAGGTTTGATGTTAAAATTACATAAATTAGGGATCAGAGGTCAAATCTGGAAAATCATCGACGACTGTCATATCAACACTGAAAGCGCTGTAATTGTTAATCAAACTATGTCTCGTTGGTTCCCCGTACAACAAGGTGTCAGGCAAGGAGGTGTTCTTTCAACTTTTCTCTATCTTGTTTTTATTAACGACTTGTTAAATGAACTACAACCCAAGAACTCAGACCATACTAGTGCTGTTATATTCGATAACAATTACCACTCTCCAGCTCTCGCAGATGACATCGCATGCATTGCACTCTCTCCCTCATCTCTGCAGTCGATGATGAACATTGCGTACCGATATGCCTGTCTATGGCGTTTTGAATACAACGCTTCTAAGTCAAGCATCCTGCAATTCCGTGCTAAAGGCCAAAGTCATCCTGCAGAAAAAGACATTAACTTAGGAGACTCTAAAATACAATACGGAAACGTCTATGAACATCTAGGAATTCCTATTAGCAACAATACTAAATCAAGATCTCGAGTCATCAACGCTTGCTCCAAGGGTTGGAAATCATTCTACGCATTAACTGACATGAATATATCTCTTGTAAACCCTCTGACGATGTCTCATCTCTATAGAACCATAGTCATGCCATCCGTTCTTTATGGTTGTGAACTGTGGAACCACATGGTGAACCAAGATATAAGACGCCTCAACACACTCCAACACGGAATATGCAAACAAATTTTGAACCTCCCTAAACTTACCAGATCAGATATTTGTGAACAACTCATGGGTCTTCTACCAATCACTGCGGAAATTGATACCAGGAAACTTCTTTTCTTTGGCAGACTTTGTAGACTAGATCTCAACTATCTTTCAAAAAAGATCTTTACATCACGCCTTTTCTCCTTCCTCTATCAACTAACTGGAACTGGAGACCAAATGGGATTCATTCCGGATGCATTGTTCCTTCTTCAGACGTATGAACTCTCACATTACTTGAATACCTGGCTCTCTTCTGGATCGTTCCCATCAAAATTATCATGGAAATCTATAGTGCGTTCAGCTGTTCACAAAAACCACACTCTCCAACGCAACGATCGAACTGAGTTTGATCCAGACTTTCTCAGATTTAATGCTATATTTTGTACATCGAAACCATTCAACATGTGGAAAATTGCAGATTCTTTCAACGAAATTCGAAACTTTAAATTCATCTGCAAACTTATTGCATCAAAACCCGCTCAAAATCCGTTTACATGCATGTTATGCGATTACCCCATTACAGACGTTTTTTCACATGCGACAATATCCTGTCCAGCCCTCTTGAATCAACATAACATATGGTAGAACTCTCTCTCAGAATCGTTTACCGTTCACCTTGAAGCTGAACTATGTGGTCTTCCCGAAGATGAGTTATTCATCATTCTTCTTGGAAGACCACCACTTACAATCTTGTCAGCAGAAAAAGAAATCCAGTTTAGAAAACTGAATTACGTACACATCGTCTCCTCTTGTGCACTCTACAATAGACAATGCAATCTCAGATTTGTAAATGGATAACCCCAACCGCCCCCACTCCCTGCTTGGATGGCTATCCTTTACATGAAATAATGTATCATATGTGTAATATTTTCTGCTTTTTTTTTCAGTTTTGTGTATTTTTGTTCTATTTTTTTTCTTTTTATTACTTACAATATGTTTTTTTTTTCTTTTTCTCACATTGTGATTGAGTTATAATTTATATGTCATTGTCATGTCAAAAATCTCTGTAACAGAGGAAATAAAAGATAAATGAATGAATAAAGAGCTAATGATATGGTCAACTGGACGGCGTGCGTAAACATTTTGAATATATGCCATATCTCAAAAACCTCCTGGCCAGCTTTTGTTAATATTGTCACAGATGTTCTTGGTCCAAGGACACTCGTTCATATTTTAAGAAGGAGTATGACCTTTTAACAAGTGGAGATAATTAGGGTAATAAACACAAAAGTACTGGTTGTTAAAAAATGTCTTCTCAAGAAACAATGGATGAGTATATGTAATAGATTTAAAACTGTTCAAGGCATTATCCTATAGTTTGGTTTAGTCTCAAGGTCACTTCAAAGTTGGCCAAAAGTTATGTTTTGTTACAACTTTGATATTTTGCTTACTCTAAGGACTATGACTATGACTTTATGAAGTGGGATCAGTTGACATGGAGGAATGAGCATCCCCTCCCAACCTCTCAATTCCGCCGTGTGCTCCTTGTCATGATCGGGAAATAACGCAAAAAGTCCGTCGTCAATTCAGTGTATAAATAATGGACTAACAATTAGTATGAAAAACGTCAGTCAGCATTTGACTCAATGACAATGATAAATTATATTTGCTGACAAGGTCATTGTATCGATCATAGGACTCAAGAAATGATGACTTTAAACGAGACTGGTCATTGTTTCAAATACTGAGAGGTTTAGAAGCATTTAATCTTGTAAGTAGGTTATCTTTTGGCCGTAAATCATATTTATTTAAAAATAAGTCACAGTAACCTACTTTTTGAACTTTGCAGGCATTCAATTTAAAAATGTTTTAGAGACAAACTTTAAATATTTAGGGCCTATGATTATCAAACTTTGTCAAATAAAATATTTCAGGCACTCATAATTATGCATTGGCTCAAAATAATCAACTTATGTCAGTTGATGCCTCTTTGTGTTTTGGAGAAAGTCAATTGAAAAGTAGGTC